ACGAGAAGCCCGTCCTGGGGAAGGGGTCGAGACTCCCAGGGACCCCGCAATGAAAAAATCACAACATCGGATCTCAGGGTCTGGGCCTCCCAGCTGGGGTCGGAGTAGATGGGGTCGGGGGACGCCGCGTCGCCGATGCATCGACGATGCGGCTCGATGCGGAGCCCGATTTGCTGCACGCCGATGTTGCCGATGCACCGCCCACGTCGACGATGCATCGCTGGTGCATCGCCGATGCATCGCTGATGCATCGCCGATACATCGCCGATGTATGTGCGATCCTCCGACCCCCTCTACTCCGATCCCATCCAGGAGGCCTCTAACAGCTGAAGGGGGGTGGTGCAATAGATTTGGTGCAATAGGCTCGTGCCATTGCAGCAGATTTGGGGCGAGCGACACTTCCAGGTTTCCAAATTGTACTGCTGGGCTTTCGCGTGCAATGCGCTAATTTCACTACGATGCAATCGAATCTCCTGGCGCAACACATTTGCAATACAGTTGCCCCGAACCTATTGCACCACCCCCCTTCAGCTGGACCCCACTTGGGTCAACACAAATTCTGAGCAGGAAAGGGTACCCATGCCGCTGCCCTTCCCCCGTTTCTCCCTCTGTGGTGCCCCCATCGGAGGCCCAAACAGTCGCGTGGCGAAACAATCGCGACGGGAGATGTTCCATCAGCTTCAGCCTCTGGGGGCCCTTGCCGGGTCTCGGGGCCGTCAGCAAAACGATTCAGGATGAAGGACCGGTCCTTACCAGTTTGAAACATATCCCATATCCCTATCCCTATGTTTGACATCACCTCACCTCGATGCCGATCTTAAGGATTCCGTCAGTTTCTGAGGGCCTATCCCTAAGATTGTCCTCGCTTTTTGCTCGCACATCTCAGGGATAGGGATAAGTTCCAGGCTGGTTAGGTCCAGGAGAAGGCGTCGAGACCTCTGGGTGTCGACGTTTTGCGAAACCAGCACGACGTCGGGGGCTTGGGCAGCCAGTGGAGACCCATGCCAAGAAACGCCCTGCCTGCCTACAGGGCGCCCTGGGTCTCCTGTGTGTTCGCTGGTTCTGCAGTGGAACACGTGACGCTCCCACGCCGAAAATCTATGGACGCCCTGCAGGGCCGGACGAAAGGGGGGGATTGGGAAAGGAAGGGTTACGAGGTCTGCTGCATGCAGCTGGTTTCGGCCCCGCCGAGAGGCCCAGTCCTCGATACATGGCCGCCTCCCGCCGCCGGGAGGCGCCGGGAAAATCAGCCACCCGAGCTGAATCTCAACCCCTCCCTTTGCTATGCCCCCCCCTTTCGCCGAGCCCGACTGGGGTCTCAGGGTTGGGTTTCTTTGCGGACGTTTCCTCGTGGATTGGCCTCCGCTGTGCCGCGGCCCTCTCTTGGGCCTCCTCGGATGAGGCCCTCGCCGCCACGGCCCGACTCGCCTCGGACTCCTCCTTCCCTGACCTTCCAGGAGGGCAAAAAAATAGCACGCGACTTGAAAACCTATCCCAGAGCTATTCTACGTCTTGGTTTTAGGCTGTTTCGTTTCGTGTTTTAGGTTTTTAGGTCTCCAGTGCTAGAAAATAGCTCTCTGGAAGGTCAGGGTTGGAGCGCACCCCAGGCGAGGTCCGGGCAGCAGCGCTGTCGGTGCCCTTTCTGGTTTCCCCAGATTCCCGGCGCTGCATGCGTTTCGCATCGGGCATTTTCGCCCCGTTTCGGAACCCCGGGACTCTCTCGGGGGCCGAAAAGAGGGAGGTGATGACTAGGGGGGGGGGGATATCATGGCGGGGGCCATGATATTTCCCCAGTTGTCATGTCGCCTCTTCTTATTTCATTACGTCCCTGGCCCCCCCGCTGGGCCGCGCACATGCCGCCAGTCATGATTTGCACCCCCCCCTCTTGGACACCCCCCTCTTTGGCGCCCCCGACTCTCACACATCAACCCGGTCTGGGAAGTGAGGCCAACAGATGGTGTTCGGGAGGCCCGCCGTGATTTCTGCGAGGTTGCAATCTTGTCGCAACGTCGGATCTCGTGGGACCCAGACAGTACCGCGATATGTGTTAAACCAAAAATGCAGGGCGGAAGGTGTCTTGCTACTCGCGGCCTCCTGAAGCCCTCGCAGGGCCCTGGGACCGTGAAAAATAATCAGGATGAAAAACCAGTCCCGGGGAAACGGTCGGGACGTGGGGGCCACATGTTGAAAGAATCAGGACGTCGCATGTCTGCTGACTCAGACCCCCTCGAGACGTCGCCCGCACCGGGCCCCAGACCCGTCGAGAAACAGCTCGGGGTAAAGAGCGGGTCCCCGGGGAAGGGGTCCAGACCTCTGGGTCCACGCCATGAACACATCATGACGTCGGGGGGACTGGGGGCCCAGATCTCAGACGATTCTTTGATCACCGCTGAGGCTGAGGGGATACAGGGGATACACGTAGACGCGAGCGTGGGTTACATCTGGTTTCACCCAGCAGTTTATACATGTACAACACGTGTGCCGCAAGTGGCACAAAAGGGTTCGGTAACTCTGCCAAGTGGACGTCGTCCACTGAAGACTCGCCCCCCGTAATGGCCGCCCAGGGCACTTGCAGCCCCACTTATCAGCTAGGCCAAGCTACGTAGAGCCCACCTTGGCATCCGACTAGAAGCCCCCCCTTTTATATCCCCTCAGCAACCCCTGCGGTGATCTACGTACGGCTTACTATTCAGATGTTTTTTCCCTACCTAGGCTCTGCCTAGAAGGGTTCTTACTCGGTATGCTTAAAGGGCCGGGCAGTGGAAAACGCCCCGGGCGGTTCCCCCGGCATCCGCTCCGCGGTTCCCCCAGTGACGTTCCCTTAGCATAGCGTTGCTTATCACATTTTAGCATAGCTTATTTCATCTTAGCTTCGCTTCATCTTGCTCAACTTAGCTTCATATAGATGTTGCTTTCCTAGATCCTCCACCTCCTAGGTAGGGTCGCACTGGGATAATCATACACCTGTCGGCCTGCGATACCCGTGATCGGGCCCCGCGTCCATCAAAAACGCATCGGGGGCGAAACGCTTGCCCCGGGGAAGGGGCTGGGACCTCGGGGGACCGCTCTTCGGACACAACTCGTCTCGTCGGAAGCCTGGGGATATAGCGATGCCGCTGCTCGTCCCGGAGGTTCCCCGTCGCCGAGGCTGGGTCCGCCCCGGACCCTGACTTTCCAGGAGGGCAAGAAAATAGCACGCGACTTAAAAACCTATCCCAGAGCTATTCTACGCCTTGGTTTTTGGCTGTTTCGTTTCGTTTTTTAGGTTTTTAGGTCTCCAGTGCTTAAAATTGCTCTCTGGAAGGTCCGCCCTGGAGAGAGCCCAGTCAGAGCGCACCCTGGGAGAGGTCCGGGGAGTAGCCGAAGATCGGCACCTGCCCAGACATCCAATGGCTTGGGCTTCCCACTGCGGGGCCCCCTGGAGGTCTGCACCGTTTCCCCATGCAGGGCCGGCCTCACCTACTTTCGCTCGGATCGCCTGACAGAATTTCGAGCACCAAGGCAGTACCGAACTTTGAGTGTGTTCACGTGTCGGGCCCTGGGAGGCGATGCTCGTTCGACACTGTTTCGATGTTTGTCTGGATGCTCGAAATGATTTCTGGGACGTCGTCCTTAAATACGATGGGAGCAACACATAGCCCGAGCCGTCCTGTCAGTCCTGGCGAGGGCCCCCGTGCAGGCGGAAGAATTCGAGGAGAGCCTCCCCGCCGCGGCTCCTGTATGCTGCGACGCGAGAGTGTTCGGGCTCGGCGCCGAGGGGGGGAGAGATCCGTAGTGAGATCGATGGGGGGATCGATCGTGAGATCGATGATGACATCGATCGAGCGAGGCGTTGGTTCCTTCCACCCCCCCGAGGCACGGCGGTGGACGGCCTCGTGCGCGAGGCGTGCAGGGGCATCGGCGCGGGGCCGGAGCAGGCGGAGCGCTGGCAAGCCGCGCTGCAGGACTGGCCATGGAAGGGAGCGGGTCCTGCTGGAGGCGGGCCCCGACGTGACCCGAGGGGCGTGCGCGATCCTGCCGATCCCCCAGTAGAGGGATGAAGTCGTTGGGTGTGGCCTTGTGGGGCCTCTTGCCCTGACCTTCCAGAGAGCTATTTTTTAGCACTGGAGACCTAAAAACCTAAAAACGAAACGAAACTGCCTAAAACCAAGACGTATAATAGCTCTGGGATAGGTTTTCAAGTCGCGTGCTATTTTTTAGCCCTCCTGGAAGGTCAGAGTGGGGACCCTCTGGAAGCCTCTTGTGGGCCTGCTGGGGGCGTCAGTGCAAATGGAGGGCCCCGAATGGTGGGCTGGTGGTCTGGTGGTCCGCGTCTGCGCCCTGCGTCGCGAGCCCCGGGGCCTTCACGGATCGAGCGGGCTCGAAAAGAGGTGCAGAAAGTCAGGAGGGGAAAAAACACACAGACACAATTAATCGTCGACCCCCCAGAAAATATGGGAAACTATGTGAAGTAGGGGGGAAGACGGAAATCCAGAAAATATGGGAAAATATGGGGAATCTGTTTATTTGTGTGTATTTATTTGTGTGTCCCAGGGCCCCTTCAAAGGCTTGGTCGTGGGCGCTGCTCGCTTCGGGGGTGGACAGAACCCCAAACAGTGACAGGTCGAATAGTGAACTGTCCGTTTTCGGTTCTCGAGAGGGCGCCGTGGCCGTTATTTTCCAGGCTTGCGCCCGCCAGGTTTGGGCCTCAGGTCGTTTTCACTAAACCACGTTTTACTCAAGGGGGGTCTGTCCATCCCCGACTGCTGGGGAAGGCCCCCAGGCGTGCCCTCTGCCCTTCGCGCCCGAGGACGAGCAGCTGCAGGGCCTGGGCCAGCTGCTCCTCCTCCTCCTCCTCCTCCTCCTCCTCCTCCTCCTCCTCCTCCTCATCATCATCATCATCATCCTCATCCTCATCATCATCATCATCATCATCATCATCATCATCATCATCATCATCATCATCATCAGCATCAGCATCAGCATCAGCATCATCATCATCACTGGGTCCGGCGCCCGAGGACGAGCAGCTGCAGGGCCTGGGGCAGCTGCGAGCCCTGCGGCCGGAGCAGTGGGCCCGGCTGGAGCTGCCGGTGGGCCTGGAGGCGGAGCTGCAGCGCCTGCTCCAGGCGGGGCCGCCGGAGCGCCGGGAGCCGAGCGCCAGCGGGCACCCCGCGGGCATCTAGTTTTATGTCGGGCCTGTCCCCCTACAGGGGGATGTTCGACGAAAAATAAAAATACCCCAAAAATACACCAAGAAGGCCAACAGCTATTCAACAAATAGTCCCCGGTTTATTGTTGGATCATTTGTTTTGTTATTTTTTGGGGTATTTTTTATGCTTCATCGAAAATCCCCCTGTAGGGGGACACGCCCGACTTAAATATAGTTGGCCTTCGGGGGTGGCCCTCGCCGCCCCCGGCAGCTATAGGGAAACCGGTGCGCTTGGCCCCTCATGCCGGAGGGGTCGGGGAGCGATGCCCAGACCCCCGACGTCGCGATGTGTTCACAACGTCGACCCCCAGAAGCTTCGGCCCCTTCCCCCGGGACTGGTCTTTCGTCCTGAGACGTTCTTTGACGGCCCCGAGGCCCGGGAAGGGCCCCCTAATTAGGGGCCGAAGATTGCGAAAAGCTTCCCACAGCGATTTCCTTCCCAGCGCGAGGGGGTCTGGGTTCCGAGCGGCCGCCGTCTCAGCCCGCCCTCCTCCGACAGGAGCCGCCGCGGCGCTTCTCCGCCCCCGGCGGCGGGGGCGGCGCGTCGTCGCGGGTCCCGGGCGCACCCGTGCACGCCCTGCGCGCGTTGCTGCGCGACAGCCTCGGCGCGCGCTGGCCGCAGCAGCTGCTGCGCGCGCTGCGGCGGGGGCGGGGCCAGGGGCACGCGGTGGACCTCGGAGGAGGAAAAGGTACCCATACCATACCGCTACCCTTCGCCCGTTGTCCCCTTGTTGTGGCCTCCTGGGAGGCCTTCGGCGACCCCGCTGGATTCGCCTCGAGCTCCTGGTCAGAACGCGCCGTGGCGGGGGGGCGGGGAGTAGCGGCATCTCGGTACCTACCAGAGATCCGACGTCGTGGTTTTTTCAATGCCTGGTCCCCCCGGATGTCTCGACCCGTTTTTTGACAGCCCCGAGGCCCGATGAGGGCCCCTAGAGGCCGAAAACTGTGAAGAATCCCGTCATGCTTTGTTCGATACTCTGGGCCTCCTAGATGGGGTCCGAGTAGATGGGGTCGGAGGGTCGCGCCGCATCGCCGACGCATCGACGATGCGGCTCGATGCGGAGACCGTGTTTCCCCACGCCGACGCCGCCGATGCCTTGCCGACGTCACCGGTGCATCGCCGATACATCGCCGGCGATGCGGGGCGATCCTTCGACCCCATCTGCTCGGGCCCCATCTATATCAAGAAGGGGAAAAAACACACAGACACAATGGTTCGTCGGTTCCCAGAAAATATGCGAAAATATGGGAAGTGGGGGGGAAGACAGAAACCCGGAAAATACTAGAAAATATTGGGGGTATTTTTATTTGTGTGTATTTATTTGTGTGTCCCAGGGCCCCTTCACTATAGGAGGCCTCTAGAGCTACGTTGGGTCTCTGGGCCCCTGGCTTCCCCAGGACCAGGGCGCCCTGCGGCAGGCGCTGCAGGCCGCCGGCGCGCCGCGGCCCCAGGCCTCGCAGGTGCGCGAGGCGCTGGCGCTCGCGGCGCCCGGCGGGGTCGCCCCCAGCGCGGAGGATCGGGCCGAACGAGAGGGGGGGACAGGCCCTGACCTTCCAGGAGGGCTAAAAAAAAGCACGCGACTTAAAAACCTGTCCCAGAGCTATTATACGTCTTGGTTTTAGGCTGTTCCGCTTCGTTGTTTTAGATTCTTAGGTTTTCAGAGCTAAAAGATAAGTTAGCTCTCTGGAAGGTCAGGGGGGGACCCAGGCAGGATCGCGTCGTGAAAAAAACAGGGCGGGAAATTTTGGCGTATTTTCGGCCCCGGGGGGCCCTCGCCAGGCCTCGGGACCGTCCGAAAAACAACTCAGGACGGAAAACCGGACCGAGGGAAAAGGGGTCGGGACTTCCAGGGACGCCGTCCTGGAAAAATGATGCCGTCGCACGTCTGGGGTTAGTCGGGCCTGTCCCCCTACAGGGGGATTTTCGACGAAAAATGTGAAATACCCCAAAAATAATAAAAAAAAATAGTCTGGGGATTATTTTTTAAAATATTTTTGACATTTTTTGGAACTTTTTTGGGGTAATTTTACTGTTGTCGAAAATCCCCCTGGAGGGGGACACGCCCGGCAAAGGGGGGGGCTGCGAAATCTCCTGCATGCAGCTGATGTCGGCCCCGTCGCCGGGCCCATGCCTCGACACCTGGGCGCCTCCCGCCGCCGGGAGGCGCTGGGAGAATCAGCGAATTACGTGGGCTGGTTCTCTGCCCTACCCTTTGCTCAAGCACTGGCGAAACGTCCTGGCTCGCCTATAGCCTACCTAACAATGGTCTAAGAACCTTTTCTGGTTCCCACGAAATGTTCCTAGAACCTTTCTGGCGGAGTCTCTTGTTTTGTCACATCGGGTTTCTGTTCTAAGGACCTTGCTTTTGTTATTAGAACATTTGTTGGGGTCTGAGAACATTTCGTGATAGGACTACAGGAATGCCGGGACGGTCGGTCCCTGCTCAACCCGTTCGTTCCCCCCAGAAGGAGGTGGTCGCGGCCCTGCACGGCCCGCTGGAGGGCCCGCGCAGGCGCGCGGTGCAGGAGCTGCGGGGGGCCCGGCCTGCCTGCCCTGCTCTTATAGACAGCACGAGCAGCCGAAGGTCTTGCGCTTAAAAAAAGTCATGGCGGAGGTTTTTCGCAGGTCTAGGCCTCCATGGTTAAGTCGGGCCTGTCCCTCTACAGGTAGACTATATATATATATATATGTAGATTCAAAATGGTATAAACATAGTCTGGGGGCGATGTTTGGTTTATTTGTTCAGCAATGTGAGAGCATTGTTGGGGTATTTTGAATTCTGCCCCCCCAAATCCCCCTTTAGGGGGACAGGCCCGACCTAATTCTATGGGGCCCTTAACCAGCCTCGGCACCGTCGAAAAACGATTCAGGAGGCAGAACCGGTCCCGGGGAAGGGTCGAGACCAGTGGGGGTAGCCGTTGTGAATAATAACGATATTAATCATACTAATAATCATGATGGCACGAATAATAATATTATTATAATAGTTAAAAATATAAAAGCACAAGAAACGACATCGGATCTCTGGGTAGCTGGAGCTGGTGCAAAAATATGGTTTTCACGTTCTAGCTTCAAGAGCGTCTCTGGACACATTGGGTGCCGTGACGTCTACAGACGCATCCGGGGTGCATGCGTCTGTGGGCAAGGCGGCCGCTGCGTTCGGCGCAGTACACGGTCAGAGACAGGGTACTTAGATCCGTGCGCGGTATGTTCTCGCTATAGATCAGGCTCCGGCAAATAGCAGTCCAATGCAGGAGGTCTTCTGGGCGATCGACGCGAACGGCGACGGCCACATCTCGGGAGGCGTCCTGCGGCAGCAGCTCGCCGCCCTGGAGCACCCCGACGTGCAGGCGGGCCGAGCCTCTGCGGCGGAGGCTTCCAAGAGGCTGCTCGGGGCGTGGCAGGTGGAGGGTTTCTCCGAAGGGCTTAGGCGACCCGTCCTCCTCCTCCTCCTCCTCCTCCTCCTCCTCCTCCTCCTCCTCCTCCTCGGGTCGCCTGCGGCTCCGGGGGAAACCGTGCAGTGGCAGGGCGCCGACCCGGTGTCGCTGCCCGAGTTCCTGGACCGCCACGTGCTGCTGTCGGCCCTCTGGCCGGGTGGCGACGCCGAATTCGAGAATTCGGTCTGCAGGCTGTGGCGGGTGCCCCAGCCCGGCGCGGCAGAGGCGCCCGCGCCGGGGCGGCGCCCAGAAGGCTCGTCTGCTCGTCAGACTGACCAGTGACCCTCCGCCGGAGTGGCCTTTGGTGCGGATCCACGGGGCTCCCCCGATCGCCTGTCGCGATGCGGTAGTACCGTCTTGCGCGCTTGTGTTTGGCCCCCCCGCGGCCCCCAAAAGGCCGCGCACCAAAGGTCACTCTAACCCAGGGTCACTCCTGCGCGCAGCCTCCTCCTCGGCCTCCTCCTCCTCCTCCTCCTTTTCTCCGCCTCCGCCTCCTCCTCCTCCTCCTCCTCCTCCTCCTCCTCCTCCTCTCCTCCTCCTCTCCCTCCCTCCTCCGCCCTCCTCCTCCTCCTCCTCCTCCTCCTCCTCCTCCCTCCTCCTCCTCCCTCCTCCTCCTCCTCCTCCTCCTCCTCCTCCTCCTCCCTCCTCCTCCCTCCTCTCCTCCTCCTCCTCCTCCTCTTCTCCTCCTCCCCTCCTCCTCCTCCTCTCCTCCTCCTCCCTCCTCCTCCTCCTCCTCCTCCTCCTCCTCCCTCCTCCCTCCTCCCTCCTCCCTCCTCCCTCATCCTCCTCCTCCCTCCCCTCCTTCTCCTCCCTCCTCCCCTCTCCTCCTCCTGCTCTCCTCCTCCTCCTCCTCCGCCTCCTCCCGCCCTCCCCCTCCCTCTCCCCTCCCCCTCCTCTTCCCTCCGCTCGTGGGCGGCGCGTGGCCGAGAGGCGCGCCCGCGGCCGCCGCGCGGCGCCGCGGCGCCTCCGCGCCCGCCTCGCGCGGGCCCGGGCCGGCGCAGCAGGCGGCCGCCGCCCAGCGCTGGGGCGTGGAGGAGCTCGGGGGCGGCAAAGAGGAGCTTCGGGCCCCAGGATGCACGGTTTCCCCGGGGCCGTAGGCGACCCGAGGAGGAGGAGGAGGAGGAGCTCGGGGGCGGCAAAGAGGGGGGTGCTGACTAGCGGCGGGGTGGATATCATGGCGGGGGCCATGGTGTTGCCTCAGATTGTATGGCGCCTCGTCTTCTTTCATTGCGTCCCTGGCCCATACCGCTGGGCCGCGCACATGCCGTCGGTCATGATTTGCCCCCCCCCCCCCCCCCCCTCTTAGACACCCCCCTCTTGGCCGCTCCCGAGGAGCGGCTGATGCGGTCGCCGCGCGCGGCGCTGCTGGTGGAGCGGGTGCGGCTGGCCTGCCAGCGCGAGGGCGGCAGGGCGATGTGGCCGCTGGTTCGCGCGCTGCGGGAGATGGCCGCGGGCGGCTCGCTGGAGGTGCCCGAGGTGGTGGGGGCGCTGCGCCAGGACCGAATCACAACAAAAAAAGCAACTCCAAAGAGAAGCATGGTCTGCTCAGATGTCCGCGCGGATTGCTCGGACCCGCGCTGGGCCTCCCCTGGCGGCGCCTCTTGCGCCGCCCCTGGCGCGCTCCGCGCGCCAGGGAGGGGTGCCCAGCGCCGACCTAAGATCACCGAGCGCGTACCACTGCTCGCAAAGAGTTCACTCGAAAACGTCCGAAAAGCGAATGTCTGCCTCAATGTAATGGAACGTATCCACCGTGGCGGATCCAGGCCATGTGCGAGTAGTTACCTGTGCGAGTAGTGGCACGCGCTGGTCTACAAGAAGCCCCCGCAGTGTTTGGTTATGCCGCATTTTGCTCCTCTGGAGGAGGCTGGCGTGGAGGCGTCCGCCGCCGACGTCACGGATGTCCTGCGAGCCGTGGACCGCCAGGCCATGGGGTGCCAACCGTACACCCTGCAGCTGCGGCGACTCTCCTTGAGATCCTGGCGTTGCAACTTCTTCACACCGGGCGTTTTCGCCCAGCTTCGGGCCCCGGGATGCACGGTTTCCCAGGGGCCGTAGGCGACCCGAGGAGGAGGAGTAGGAGGTGGAGGAGGAGGAGGAGGAGGAGGAGGAGGAGGAGGAGGAGGAGGAGGAGGAGGTGGAAAGAGGAGGAGAGGAGGAGGAGGAGGAGGACTAGGAGGAGGAGGAGGAGGGAGGAGGAGGAGCAGGAGAGGATAGGAGAGGGAGGAGGAAGAGGGAGGAGGAGGAGGAGGAGGAGGAGAGAGGAGGAGGAGGAGGAGGAGGAGGAGGACGGGCTGCCTAAGCCCTGCGGAGAAACCCCCCACCCTGGGACCGTCACATATCGATCTGGCTCGAAGAATGCAGCTGAAAGATTGGGTCGAGGGCGCTAGGCGTAATATCTCTCACGGATCTGCATTTTGTTGCGAAGGTTTTACGCCCGTTGCCGCCGACCCTGTATGCAGGACCTCCCCCCTTGATTCCTTGATCCACGCTGGCGACTCCCCCCCTGGATCCCCGGGACACCTGGGAGACGCCATTCTGACCCAGGACCTCCCCCGCCCCCCCCCAATAAGCCGCCTCCCCCTCGCCGGGGAAGGGATCGAAGGGAAGGGCTTCGCCCGTCGACTTAACTGCGACGCTCTTCAGTTTCCCCGTGGCCAATAGTTGCGGAAGCGGCGACAGCAACGACGATCACGACGGCGACGACGACGACGACGATGACGACGGCGACGAGGACGACGACGAGGACGAGGATGACGACGAGGACGCTAGCTTCCTCCGCAGGTCGAGGGTCGGTGGGTTCACAGCGTCGGATCCCAGAGCTGGTCGCGCCACGTCCCTGGGCCCAGGGCTGCTGCGTGCGCTTTCCCGGCTTGGCCGCGAGGGCGGACACGCAGGCCCTGAGCCCAGGATGGGCCTGGCGCAGGGTCGCCGCGGCTGCGTGCCCAGATCTCCGGTCGTGGCAGCGTTTCCTTTTGCTACAGCGTGGGCCCTCAGATCTGAGGGCTCACGTCGGGACCTCGAGGTCGAGGTCGAGACCTGCCGGGGAAGGGGTCGAGACCTCGAGGTCTCGACCCCTTCCCCGTGACGGCCCCGGGGCCTGGCCAGGGCCGGGGGCTGGAGATGTCCCAGAGCGCTCCGTCGCGATTCCTGTAGCATCGTTGAGGTTCGCGATTGCTGCGACACGACGCCGCGCAGCGTTTTTGTTGCTTCTTCTTTTTATTTAGAACAAAAAAACATACGAGACAGTTCCCTACCTGTTCAGCAGGCGGCCCGCTGGCTCCACCCAGTCTCGCGGAAACTTCGCATCTGGACCTCGCAGAAGGTCACGCCTGACCAATGCTGAGCCGCCTCAGCCACACGACGACGCGACGGCACGAAGATCAAGCAATCGGAAGCCCTGAAGGGGGAGGGGGAAGAGGAGGAGGAGGAGGAGAAGGAGGAGGAGGAGAGGAGAGGAGGAGGAGGAGGGGAGAGGGAGGAGGAGGAGGAGGAGGAGGGGGGAGGAGGAGGGGGGAGGAGGGGAGGAGGAGGAGGGGAGGAGGGAGGAGGAGGAGGAGGAGGAGGAGGAGGAGGAGGCGGAGGAGGAGGAGAAGGAGGAGGAGGAGGAGAAGGAGGAGGAGGACAGCACGAAAATAGAGCAAGCCAAAGCCCAGAGGGGGGAGGGGAGGCCAGGGAGGCCAAGGAGGAAGCCAGGGCAGGCAGCACCAAGGGGGGGCCCAGGGGAGGCCACGACGCCGCGACGACCCGAGAATATATCGCAGTCCTCCTCGATCCTCCTCGACCTCCTCCTCGATCGAGGAGGGTCGAGGATCGAGGATCGAGGAAGGAATCGGGGGCTCGAGGATCGAAGGTCGAGCATCGAGGAGGGGATCGAGGGCTCGAGGAGCGAGGGGCGGAGGCCCAGGAGGCCAGGGGGGCGGAGGCCAGAGTGGCCAGAGAGGTCAGGAAGGCCATGCCGGGGGGAGGCCACCAAGGAGGCCCCGGGGGGAGGGGGGGGGGGCCCGGGGGAGGCCCAGGTCGACACAACGACGACGGCGCGAAGAGAGAGCAATCCGAGGCAACCGGGGGGGGCCGGGGGGAGGCCAGGGCGACACGACTGCGACACGAAGATAGAGCAATCCGAAGTCCGGGGGGGGGGGCGGGGGAGGTCAGAGGGGCTAGGGGAGGCCAGGGAAAGCCACGACGACGACGAATGACGACGACGACGACGACGACGACGACGACGACGACGACGACGACGACGACGACGACGACGACGACGACGGATGACGACGACGACGACGACGACGACGACGACGACGACGACGACGACGACACGAGCAGAAAGCAACTCCAAGAACGAAGCCCTGGGATGGAGGAGGGTCCAGGGAGACCGGGGCAGGGGCGCACCTCCAAGACATCTCCCAGACATTCTCCAGGACACACTCTAGCACGCCCCTCCTCCTCCTCCTCCTCCTCCTCCCCCTCCTCCTTTTCCTTCTTCTTCTTCCTCCTCCTCCTCCTCCACCTTCTCTTTCTCTTTCTCCTCCTCCTCCTCCTCATCCACCTCCTTCTCCATCTCCTCCTCCCTCATCCTCCTCCTCCACTTCCTCCTCCTCCTCCTCCTCCTCCTCCTCATTCCTCCTCGCTCGTCCCGTCTCTTCCCTCTCCTCCCCCCTGCCCCTTGCCCTCTCCATCCCTCCCCCTCCTCCTCCTCCTGCTCCATCTCCTCCTCTCCTCCTCCTCCTCCTCCTCCTCCTCCTCCTCCTCCTCCTCCTCCTCCTCCTCCTCCTCCTCCTCCTCCTCCTCCTCCCTCCTCCTCCTCCTCCTCCTCCTCCTCTCCTCCTCCTCCTCCTCCTCCTCCTCCTCCTCCTCCTCCTTCTCCTCCCCCGCCTTCCTCTTTCTCCCTCCCTCCTCCCTCCTCCTCCTCCTCCTCCTCCTCCTCCTCCTCCTCCTCCTCCTCCTCTCCAGCAGTGGAGGTAGGACAAATCACCCAGACCCTGACAACTGGCGTTTGTTGCACGGCCCTGGGCGTTTCCTAAACAGCCTTGCCTTGCTCGACTCCTTCCTTGGGCGCGTGTACTACACGGCTTCGCTTGTCGGGGTGCTCATTATGCGGACCCATGCCAAGAAACACCCTGCTTTCCTCCAGGGTGCCTTGGGTTCCTTGGGTTTCGAAGGTTTTGCGATGGTCAGCGCGACGCTCCCACACCAAAAACCATTGGACGTCCTGGGGTCTCAAGTTTGGGTTTCTTGTGGACAGTTTCTTGTGGTCGGGCCCCTACTGTATTATGGGGGTGGATTTTCTGGCCTCTAAGCAGGGCGCTCTCCAGGGCACACTCGAGCGCGCCCAGCAAGACACTATCCAGCGCACACTCTAGCACGCAGCACGCACCCGCAAGACAGCCCCAAGACATTCTCCAGGGCACCCTCTTAGCACGCCCTTGAACAGACATCTCCACGAGACTCTCCGGGCAGAGGATATCTCCAAGGCATTCCACGCCCTCCGGCAGACACCTCCAAGACATTCTCCAGGGCACTCTGTAGCACGCCCTCCACCGCCCTCCAGCAGATGACACCTCCAAGGCACTCCACGCCCTCCGGCAGAAACCATGCATTGCAAGATTACACCGGTTGGTATAATACAACGCGCGCATGTCGCCGCGCCGTTTGCTCCGACGCGCGACCGTACGCCTTGAGGGCAGCACCTCGGCCACCAGGGCAAACTCCGCCTCGGACGCAGAGTTTACCGTGGGTGGGTCGCGTTGCCGGCTTCGTCTACGTGGGCGCACTCCGAGCACACGGCACGGCTACATGGTAGCTTGCATGCATCATCCCACGATCCCGTTTCCTCCGCGCCTCCCCGTGAACGTGGTGACGTCGCCCTGGACGGCCACTCTGGAGCACTTCCGTTGCGGTAATGGTCGCCTCCTGAGAGGCAGCAGATCGTTCGGTGTCCGCCCCCATCTTCTCCCTCAAAAAAATTGGGACACAAGCAATGACATAAACATAAAAACTCGGAGGTCCGCGCGGACTTCTCGGATCGGCGTATGACACCCCTCCTTGGCGCGCGGAGCGCGCCAGGGGCGGCGCCGGAGGCGCCGCCAGGGGTCTCCAGCGCCGATCCGAGAAATCCGCGCGCACCTCAGAGTTTTTATGTTTATGTCATTGTTCGTTCCCCTAAAAAATGTTCCCGCGATCCCCTTGGCAACCTTGCTGCTCCTCCTCCTCCTCCTCCTCCTCCTCCTCCTCCTCCTCCTCTTCCACAAGCAGGCGCTCCCACCGGCCTTGACCTATGGCCTGGGCGTCCATGGAGCCTTCCCTCGACTCGTGGAACAAATGCGAACGGCTCAGCGAGGTGTATGGCATGCCCCAGGCTCCAGCACATCGTGCTGGCTCACGTCTTGCCTGCAAGGCTCGGCATACACGGACCCCCAGGTGGAGGCTTGGGCCGCGCCGCTGTATCAGTGGGCCCTCCTCTTTCGTGACCCGCAGGTGCCCCACCGTACCTTACAATCGGCATGGCTTCGCCAGATCCAGAAGATCTACCATTCCCCGCACCCGTGGCGGTATGTGTCGGGCCCCGCGGGCGCTACAGTGTTTGCATTACGAGAGCTCGGCTGGGCTACGGTCAGCAGCACCATTTGGCGGACCGATCAAGGGGTCAGAATCAATGTCCGAGATGAGGCGCCGTCCACCATCCGCCAACTTGCTAGAGATGCAGGGGTTCGGCGCCTCTGGGAGAAGTGGGCCCAACGGTCCCCGCTTCCAGGGCATGATGTTATTCCTCGGGAGCCCAGTGGCTATTGGATCGAACCAATCTTGCAGATCCTCTCCCAGATTGACATACCTGATGACGACGAGTCGGGGTCTGATGACGAGCTCGACGATCACGGTGATGACGAGCGTCCGACCATGGCCCCCTTAGGCCCCAACCCCTTTGCCACCAAGTGGAAGCCCTCCCTCAAGGAAGCAGGCCTTCTGCGTGCGTATCTGGGTGGTGACCTTTGGAGCCCGTCACGGCTTGCAAAGTGTTACTACAGGGACACCGACTCATGTCCACGATGTGGGGCATCTCCATGTGACCTGTATCATATTGTACATGAGTGTTCGTCTCTGGATGCACATCGCCAACAATACATGTTTCAGATTTGCACGGATGGGTTTCCCATGCAAGCGCGTGACTCCATGCTATGGTCGTCAGGGCTCGTTTCTCGCTCTTGCTTCCCTACTTTACCACCACGGGGCTGCACTGGGCACTGGCACATCAAAAACGGTGATCCGCAAGGCATCGCTGGCAACATTTACACGGTTGGGGCGTGTCAGCGTATGTGGTACTGGCCTGAGGCCACACGAACGGGATGGGGACTCTGCCAGCTGAGTGAGCCAACGCCTGGGGTAGACATCCTTGTTTATGGGGCTCTCCCAGGCCCCATACAGTCCTCGCCCAGGGCCGAGCTTTACGCTTTCCTTCAGGTTCTCCAGGTTTGCCTTCCCCCTGTATGTGTGCACGCCGACTTCAAAGGTCTGGTCGACGGCCTTGCCCTTGGAGCTCGCTGGTGTTGCGCACCTCGGCGTTTATACGTCGACTTGTGAAAACGCATATGGACCAAGCTTTCCGACCTGGGCGAGGTGGGGTCTGATGTTCGTGTTGCCCTTGTTAAAGGACACCAGCAGGGTCAGAGCGCCGATGCCCGAGGTAATCGGTGGGCTGACCTTGCTGCTCGTAACGGCAGGGACCTCCACTCCATCCCCAAAGCTCAGGTCAAAGCTATGAGGCTGAACCATAAGTACTACACTCGCCTCCTTCGATGGGGTACGACCGCTCGTGGGCTCTTCTTTGGCGAGCAGCGTGTCGACACCCGACCACGCAGGAAAGCCTGTCGGCGCCCACGGCGCGCTACGGCCCCCTCGGAGCCCAAGGAGGTCTCGGCGCCCTTGCGCCATGTTTTCTCCCAGGTCCCCCATCGTAGTATATGGAGGTGCGAGTTTTGCAAGAAAGGCTCGAAGCTCGAACGGACCCGTCGTCGTCTCTCTCTGATTGCCTGCCCTGCTCGTTTGCGCGCTGCTGCCGGCATCCCTCGGCACTCCTCCACTGTCAACCGCCCTGGTGACGCCGCGCGCGGCCAGGCCGACAATGGAGGGCAGATGTTGGCGGATGGAGGCAGCAGTTTCGGTGCTGCCGTGCGGCCTCGCTCTCCCTCGGACTCTTCTCGCTCGGTGCGCCCTCGGACGGGGTCCCCCACGCGTGGCCATGAGCGTGTCCAAGAGGATGTGGAGGCTCCCCCACCTTCCTCGGGCCTGGGTAGCCTTCCCTCTCCTCGTCCTCGCAGCCCCTCCCCTGGCTTCGAACGACACGTTAGGCCACGCGTGCGCTTCGAGCCCGTTGCTTTTACTTGGGATGGAGTTGCGAATGTCCAGGCAGACGCCGTTGCCATGTTTCACCCTCTCCCCGAGCGCTCAGGACCTGCCTTCCTCCCTGACAAGCGGAGGCGGGTAGGACCTAAGCGCTCAAGTCGGCCCTCGCTGGCCGACACTACGGTGCCAGCCGGACCCATGCCTGAAACGGGCCCTGTCCTTGCCACGGCCGCCCGCGGCCATCGCCTTTGGGTCTCTTCGGGCCACGTTTGTTTGTGAGTTTCCTGTGGCGCCTTCACTACGGGCACGGCTGGTCACCTTCTCGTTGAATGCCCGTCAGGGGGTACCCACCGCCTGTCCGAGCGGGCGGTGCGCAACCGACGTTTATTTATGCAGGGTTTTCATCCTGCGGACGAAGGGGCAACAGGCTCTCGCAGAGTCCCTGCGCCTCGTCCACTTCTCGTTTCGGACCCTGAAACCCACTGGGTCAGGCTCCATGGGAGCCCATTTCATAACCCAAGCGACGGGGCATAGTCTCCCGTTTCTTCTTTTTGTGCGGCTGGTACCCGTGATCCTTTAGGTGGGGTCCCAGTTTTTCCGCAGGCCAGCCAGGCTGCTAGCAACTTGGCACCTTAGGTGGGCGTTCGTGCACCGCGCGACGCTTCCCTTGGCAGTGCCGTATCCTCCCCCTCCTCCTCCTCACCCTCCTCCTCCTCCTCCTCCTCCTCCTCTTCCTCCTCCTCCTCCTCCTCCTCCTCCTCCTCCTCCTCCTCCTCCTCCTCCTCCTCCTCGTTTTCCTCCTCCCTCCTCCTCCGCCTCCTCCCCTGGCGGCCGCCCTGGCGACCCGAGCAGGGCAGCGGCTCCGTCGGCGTGGAGGAGCTGCTGCAGGCGCTGCGCGGGCCCCTGCGGCCCCCGCGCGCGGCGGCTGTGCACCAGGCCTACCTCCTGGCATCGCTTGGACGTGTTTTTTATCCTCGGCGAGAACCATCGAGGACCATCCTCGACCAACGAGCGAAAAAAACACGCACGAAACCGAAGAATACATGGGAAATGGGCGTCCGAGCGACGGCGAGACCTAGATCGGGCATGTCCCTCTGCATGGGGGCAATCTTGAAAAATAGCCAAAACACCGCCAGGGGACGATGTTTCGACTGTGTTGGACCATTTGGGAGAATCCGTTTGGACTATGTTGCCCTTCTCGTCCAAAATCCGCTTGCAGGAGGACGCGCCCGACCTAGCACGAGGCCTTTTGCGCCCTGGACGCCGGCGGCTGCGGGACGGTGCCGCTGTCGCAGCTGCGGCGGGCCTTCCGCCCGGAGTGCCTCCTCGGGGGGCGTCAGCTGGCCCACGCCCCGGTGCGTCGCGAAGACTTCGCGACGTGTTCTGAGTATCCAGCGTTCGAACAGTTTCACATCTTCGGCGGGAGTCGTTTTGCTATTTGAAACCTCCAGGCGCCCTCGCAGGGCCCGAAGACCGCCGAGAGACGACTCAGGGTGAACCGCCTGTCCCAGGGAAGGGGTGTAGACCTCTGGGGAATCATGACGTCGGGGGTCTGGGGAGGTTGCTAAGCGGATAGAGGGGGGGAGCTATACTTGCATGCTAAGATATGGTTTGTACTGGGCCTAACCCAACTTACAGATCGGCTACAAGAACCGCAAGTGGCTTCGAGGGATTAGGTAGCTCCGCTAAGCGAGCTCCGACCACTTAGCCAAGATCTCTGCCCCCCGTAATATCAGCTCAAAACATTTGCAACCCGTTTGTAAGCTTGGTCAGTGCAGATAAAACACACCTTGGCATCCACACCCCACCTATCCTCTTAGCACCTGCCACGGAGAGGGTTGGGGCAATTTGGCGGCCTCAGGAGGTCCTCACCTGGCGGCGGGACCGCGAAAACACAACTCAGCATGAAAAGATGGCCCCGAACTTTTCAATCGAGCCGATGTCCTTCGCTTTCGGCCTCTGGGGGCCGACATCGGTCCGGGGATCCATGAAAAACGGATCCAGGTCGCAAAACCGAAAACAAAAACCACATCGCCGAGTATCTGGGCATCTCACCGGTCCAGGCTCCGGCCCATCCTTCCAGCCCGCCCAGATGGGGCCCGAGTCCGATACATCAACGATGCGGCTCGATCTGGAGCCCGGCTGTCTCCATGCCGACGTCGCCGATGCAACGCCGCATCGGCGACGCGACTCGATCCGTCGACCCAGTCTACGACTCGGGCCCCATATGGGCGGCCTCCAATGCTGGACCCAGGGTCGGTGTATATACCCTGAGACCCGGGCGTCGCAACTGTTCCTGGCTGGCGTGGCGACCCGGTTTCAGGCCCCGGGCCCTGATAGATTTTTCCAGCGCGAAGGCGGAACAGAAAGGCAGGTTCTTGGGCTGCGCCCATGATGTCCCGCGCTGCTGTGTCTTGTCGCGTCGTCGGATCCCAAGGTATCTATGCCTGCCTGGCTTGCCCAGAAAAGGCAGATGCACCGATCCTGGTCCCAGGATCTACGTATGCTGCCTTTTCGGCGGCTCGGAAACACAAGATCGTGGGAATCATGACCGGAGCTTTAGACTTTCATTTCTTAACTTTTTCCGAGCCCAGATCGATATGTGAGTGCCCCAGGGCTTGAACTTGCGCGAAAACGCCTGGGTTGAAAATTGTTGCTACGCCCAGGTCCCAGGGTACACGGTATGTCATGGGAAGAAGCACGAGGACACTACGCACGCGCGCGCGGAGCCACAGGTCCGCTACGACACGCGTCCGCGGATAGAGGAAATCAGCGCCATGGTAAGGGATGGGTGGGAGGGGTAGGACGTCAGATATGACGCGAGCGCACCTAGCTTGTCCTCCTCCCCCTCCCCCTCCCCCTCCTCCTCCCCCTCCCCAGCAAACCTTCCCCTTCCGTGACGTCCCCCCCGCCTCGCCCCAAGACGTATGTATGCGGCCGGAGGGACGCTTGAAAGGCGAGGGTGACGTCACGGAAGAGGATGGCCTGCTACAGTTGGACCGAGGTATAAGATCGAGGTCAGTCGGGGAGGGTACCTTACTGCTCTTCGTGTTGATTGCATGTTCTCGTGCACCCTGGGGAGGGTACCTTTGGATGTTCTGTGTGTTTTGGCCGGCGGAGGGTCTCGCGTTCTTTGGGGGTAGGGGCCGGCGAGGCCGCGCCCGGCGAGGTCTCCCGGAGGCCGAGAGTGGCCAAAGTCGGAAACTGGAACATATGCAGCAGCAGTGGCGGGTCGTTTTTCAATCCCAGGAGCTTTCGAGGATCGGGGACGACGTCGGGGTGGTGTGGTGTATACTTCTTGCTCGCTTCCCCGGGGAAACGACGACAAAAATGTGTACACCAGGATCCCGATCTATACACCAGGACCCCCTTCCTTGTGCGAATGCCAGCGCGGGGCCTGCAAAAGCGTCGGTGTATAGAGTCCGGCTCCTTACACAGACCCCAGAGACCCGATGTCGTGACTTTTTCAACACCCTGGAAGCCTCGACCCCCTCCCCAGCACCGGATTTTCGTCCCGAGTCGTTTCTTGACGCTCCCGAGGCCCGGCGAGGGCCCCCAGAGACCGAAAATCGTGGAAAACCTTCGTCGTGATTTTTCTCAATGCGTTGGATCTCTGGGACCTCACCACCGCCGTGGCCCTCTTGCCACGGCGCGACGGGGCCTGGACCTGCCCCGCCGGCACGCCGCCGGCGCCCTCGGCCCGGCGCCCGGCCGGCGTCCCCCGAGCCCCATCTCGGCCACGCGCCCAGGGGGGGGGCGGTCATCCGGAGGTCCTGGCGCTGCCACTGTTTCCGCCACGGGCGGTCCGCTGCCACTGTTTCCGCCGGAGGGCTAAAAAATAGCACGCGACTGAAAAACCCATCCCTGGCCAGAGCTACTCTACGTCTTGGTTTCAGGCTGTTTCGTCTCGTTGTTTCGGTTTTTAGGTTTCCAGTGCCAAAAAATAGCTCTCTGGAAGGTCAGGGTCCCGCCCCGCTTCGGGCCCCCCGGGACCCTCACGGAGGGACCGGGTTCGGAAAACAGCGCAGACAGGTGGGGTCCCGGGGCTCCGCCCCGCTTCGGGCCTCCCGGGGCCCTCAGGGAGGGATCGGGTTCGGAAGATCATGCAGAAAGACGGGGCCTGGGGCTCCAGTCCTGATGTTGTGCGATGGGATGTCGCATTTTGTTCGCAGCGTCGGATCTCCGGGCAGGAGGAGGGGGGAAAGCGTCCTTGGAGCGCCCCTGCTTCTTCAGAAGGCGCGGGCCCCCCCCCGAATTACAGATGCAGGCCCGGCGTCGTCTCAGAAGCGGCCTCCTTCTGAGAAGCTTTCCCCCTCCCCCCCCCGCTTCTTGGCATCGCTCGGACGTGTGTATTTTCCTCCGCGTGGCCCATTGAGGATTAAGTCGAGCCTGTTCCTCTACAGGAGGAGTATCCAAAAATACTCAAACAATAATTTGGGGACAATTGTTCGACTATGTTTGCCCATTTGGGGGCATTTGTTCCAAATATGTTTTATGTTTCGCCCAAAGTCCGCCTGTAGGGGGACATGCCCGACCTAAGCCTTCTCAGAAGCAGCCTCCCTCTGAGAAGCTTGCCCCCCCGCTCCCCGCTTCTTGGCATCGCTCGGACGTGTGCATGTTCGTTCCTCGGCGAGGCCCATCGAGGAGCATCCCCAGAGATCCAGCGCATAACAAAAAAAAAACATGACGGAGGTTTTTCGCAGAATTCGGCCCCTATAGGGGCCCTTGCCGGGCCTCGGGGCCGTCGATCAACAAAACGACTCGGGACAAAAACCCCGGTCCTGGAGCATGGGCCGAGACTTCCGGGCACCGCGCCTTGCAAAAAATCACGACGTCGGATCTCTGGGCACCTTCCCTGACCTTCCAGGAGGGCCAAAAAATAGCACGCGACTTAAAAACCCATCCCAGAGCTATTCTACGTCTTGGTTTTAGGCTGTTTCGCTTAGTGTTTTAGGTCTTTAGCTCTCCAGTGCTGAAAACATAGCTCTCTGGAAGGTCAGGGTTGGGGAACCCTGCGCGCGCGACGGCGAGACATGCACGGGGAAACGGACGCCCCGGCGATGGCGAGAGCCCTGGCGCGCGCCGCCGACCGTCCCCGACGTCGAGGCGGGCTGGGCCGACGCGCGGGAGGCGTGGACCGACGTGCTGCACGAGCTGCGGGGCGGTGGTCGGGCCGGGGGCCGAGGGTCACACGCACGGGCACCTCCTCCCTCCTCCCTCCTCCCTCCTCCCTCCCTCCTCCTCCTCCTCTCCCCCTCCTCCCTCCTCCCTCCTCCCTCCCTCCTCCTCCTCCCTCCTCCTCCCTCTCCCTCCTCCTCCTCCTCCTCCCCTCCTCTCCTCCTCCTCCCTCCTCCTCCTCCTCCTCTCCTCCTCCTCCTCCTCCTCCTCCTCCTCTCTCGCCGTCGAGCTTCTCGCCGTGCTCGGGCCCTCGGGGCCCTCCACGGGCCAGGGCTGTCAAACACTGGCACGGGATGAAGAGCTGGCCCCGTCGGAAAGCCGCGGTGGCCTGAGCTGCGGGGGTCGGCTGCGCGTATACGTTAGCTGCGGACCCAGAGATCCGACGTCGTGGTTTTTGCAATGCGGGGTCCCCGGGAGTCTCGACCCAACTCCCCCAGGGCCGGGCTTTCGTCCTGAGTCGTGTTCTGACGCTCCCAGGGCCCGGTAAGGGCCCCTATGGAGGCCGAAAGCTGTAAGAACCCTCCGTCGTGATTTTGTCTGATGCGTTCGATCTCTCTGGGCGGGGGGATCTCTTCAGTGCGTTCGATCTCTTGGGGGGGGGGGGGGTCGGGCCGCACGCAGGTGCGGCGTGACCCGTCGCCGGGGGGGCACGCCGAGGTGCGGGGACCGCCGGGCCCCCGGGGTGGCCGGCTGCGGCGCGGTGCTCGCCACGGGAGGCGGGGCCCGAGGTGTCTCCCCGCAGCCTCGGGGCCCTCCTCCAGGGGGGCCCTCCACGGGGGGGCTTGTCGGGGGAGGAGGGCCACGTCCCAGGGGACCTGTCGGGGGGCTCCAGGCGGGGCGGTGACCACCCCGTGTGGTGAGTCGGTGGGGGTTCGGGGTCACCGCACGGTTTTGGGGCTCGGGTCGTTCTCCGAGGACGTCTCGGGCGACTGGGGCAGCCGAGGTCCCAAAACCGTGCGCGGACGGACCGTGCGTTGAGGTCTTGGGGGATTTCGAGGTCACCGCACGGTCTGTCACCGCACCGTTTCGGGACTCCAACAGTTGACTAGACGTAAAAGTGACCTTTCGCCAGAGTGACCTTTGGTGCGAGCTCATCGGGGTCCCCCCGATCGCCGAATGCGCTGCGATAATAGCGTCTTACGCGCTTCTGTTTGGTCACCCCGCGGCGCCCCAAAAGCCGCGGACCAAGTGTCACTCTTGCCCATGGTCTCACGCTTGC